TCTATTGACACTGTATAGATTTTGTGTGTACACGGTTATTTGAATGTTCTCTCCCCTCCTCCCCCAGACAACATTCAAATAAATGTGAGTGTTGTCTCCCACTTCTGAATAGGCCTATGGATAGAGTGCTAGGCCTAGAGTCAGGAAGACTCATCTCCCTGAGTTCAAATCTGGACTCAGATTCTTTTTTTTAAAAATCAAAACATTTATTGGAGTGTCCTGTTCAAAAATGTTTCCAGTCATAAAACATATATTACAAATCATTGAAGAAAACATTTGGCATGTATGCATATTCTTTAAAAAAATTTCTGAAATGATAAAGTCTAGATCATCACACAGTTCTTAGATACTCTGAATGATGATCCATCGTCGCTACTGAAGTTTGTGGGTTTTGCTATGATAACTAGTCAACTTTTTAAATCTAATGATGTCCATCATTATGCAATACATCTATGATGATCAATGGCCACTATGTAAATAGAACAAAGTTATCTAAAAGTTGTATGGTTAAAACTACCATTCAAATCAAAAGTCATTATCTTTATAAAAACAGTTTGATGCAGAAAGTGATCTCAGTCATTTGCAACGTCTCAGACACTTACTGGTTCTTACTAGACCCTGGGCAAGTCACTTAATCCTGTTTACCTCAGTTTCCTCATCTGTAAGATGAGCTGGAGAAGGAAATAGCAAACCACCTCAGTATCTTTGCCAAGAAAACCCCAAATGGGGTGACATGACTGAAAAATGACTGAATACCTCCCCCTTTAGAATGTGAGCTCCATGTGGGCAGGGACTCTGTTTTTTATCTTTCTTCATATCCCCAGCCCTAGGCATAGTGTCCGGTACAGAGTACATGTTTAAAAAGTGTTTGTAAACCGATTGATCTTTTACTTGTAAAGTTGATTTTTTAAAAATTCAAGTGTAAGACTTCACATTTATCACTATTCAATTTCATTATTCAATTTGGCCTCATGTTCGGGCTTGTCAAGATCTCTTGGCATTCTGAGTTTGGCATCCAGAGTTTGCTAACCCTCTTAGCTTTGTGTTATCTGTGAATCTGATAAGCATGCAAGAGATGCCTTTGTCCAAATCACTAATCAAAATGTTAAACAGCAAAGGGCCAAGTACTGATTCCCTAGGGCACATCACTGGAGACTTCCTTCCAAGCTGACAAAGAGCCAGCAGTGACGACTCTGTTTACAATTCTTCAACCACTCCAGAATATATCTAACCGCACTCGGTTAGTACATGACTGTCTAGCTCATATCCCTCTATCTTTGAGACCTTGTGTAATTCTTTGCTGAAACCTAAGTAAACTATATTTACCAGGCTATCATCTGTGTCAAAAGAGAAAATGAGATTGTTCTACTAGGATTTGTTCTTGATGAAGTCATGGTGACTTTTGGGATCTTTGCTTTTTCTCTTAGACATTCTAGAATCTTGCCAGAAAGTGAAGTCAAGTTCACTGGCTTAGAGTCTGCAACCTTGACTCTCTTCTCTTTTTTGAAATTGGGAAATTATCTGCCCTTCTTTATTCCTATGCTATTCTCTCCCATTCTCCACAGTCTTTCAAAGATCATGGACAATGTATCACCAATCACATCTATCAGCTCTGTAAGTGACCTGGCCCCTCCTGGATCACTGCCTTGTCATGGCAAGAGGTAGCAAGAATACACAAAAGGAATTATACAAGAAAGATCTTAATATCACTGATAACCATGATGATGTGGTTACTGATCTAGAGCCAGTCGTCCTGAAGAATTAAGTCAAGTGGGCCTTAGAAAGCACTGTTAATGGTAAGGCTAGTGGAGGTGACAGAATTCCCACTAAGCCATTTAAAATCCAGAAAGATGATGCTGTTAAAGCATTGTACTCAATATGCCAGCATTTGGAAATCTGGAATTTGGAAAATTTGGAAAACTCAATGGTAGCCACTGGACTGGAAGAGATCAGTTTACATCCCAAACCTAAAGAAGGGCAATGCCAAGGACTATTCAAATTACTGAACAATTACACTAATTTCACATGCCAGCAAGGTCCTCTCCTGTCCAAAGATAATTTTCTTTAGTAGGAAAAACAAGCAAAATTGAAGTTAAGCAGCTCTGCTTTCTGTCAGTTTTCACTGTCCTATCCACTGTGAACCACTGTCCTATGCCTTCTTTGATTTCCAACATTGCAAAAATAAAAACAAAACCCTCCTTATCTTTAGCTTTCCTCGTCGGGTTCCACTTCTGAGATTCGGGGTTCTTGACACTATTCTTATAGGAACATAGCTTATTCTTCCATTCACCCTTGTTTTCCTAGTCTTAATATGTCTTTTTTAAAATCTAGGTTTGCTATTGAGTTGCCTGAGCATCTGCATGGGTCTCTTTTTCCTTCTTGTCAAAAATGGGTTTTTTCCATCATTTTTCAGTTTGATCCCTCCTGATCTGAATTCAATGACAAGGAACCCTACTGTTATTATTTAAGCTGGTATTTGCATTGTGTAGCACAGGTCTGAATTAACATCAGTATTGCTGCATTCCTTTGGCAGCAACCAGTCAATCAATCAATCATTTAATAAGTAGGGACTCAGTGATAGGGATAAAAAAAACAACAACAACAGTTCTTGCTCTCAAGGAATTTATGTTCTCTCTAGGATAATAACATGTATGTATAGAAGCATATACAAAATCAGTGCAAAGTAATTTTTTGTGTGTGTGTGCGGAAGGAGGGAGGAATTAGCTAGGGTAGGGAGAGGGATGTTGGATAGGAAAGACTTCATGAAGAAGATGGCACTTGAGTTAAGCTTTGATGTAAGAACTAAGGAATCTAAGAGGTTGGGGTGAGGAGGCAATACATTCCAGGCCAGGGGACAGCTGATGCAGAGGTGAGAGAATGTCACGTATGAGCAACAGCAAGAAGGTTCATCTGCTCATATTATTTATAGAGTTCATGAACAGGAATAATGCAAAATAAAACTGAAAAGGGAGGCTGAGGCCAAGTTGGGAGGGGCTTTACACTTTCAACAGAAGACTTTCTAGGTAATCCCAGAGATGAGAGGGAGCCATTGGAGTTTACTGAGTAGGGGTGTGAGGTGGTCATGCCTGTGTTTTAAGAACATCACCTCTGTCATTAGAGGAATGGGGATGGGGATATATCAGAGAGAAGAAAAACCTGAGGCAGGTAGACCAATGAAAAGGCTATTGCAATAGCTTGGGTTAGACTAGTATGGTGGGTTTAGTGAGCAGAGAGAAGTGATAGATGTTGTAGAGTTAGAATTAACCAGACTTGGCATTTGAATATGAAAGAGAGGGTGAAAGGTGGTGCCCCCGTCAGAAATAGTAAAGTCAGAAAAGGCAACAGGCCGGGGGGCGGGGAATAACCAATCAAATTTCTCTATCATTTAAAGATTTACATGTCTCTTTCCTCACAATTCTATGTTGTTAGTAGCGTTCACATTCTACCAGAAGAAAAAAACAAGGTAGCGTTTTCCCCAAATATCCATTTTTGTTTTCTAAAAAAAATCAAGACATGTACACAGTTAAACAAAAGGTATTCCTTGTGTGAAACTTCCCTAAAAGTACAATTTCTTTTTCTTGAGATATGGATTTCATTGAACACAAGTGATAATCAAATCGATGTGAGAGTCTACATAAAACCCTCCAAACTCTTAAAGAACCTCAATGGTAAGCATGATGAAACGAATCCATTGTTTTTCTAGTAAAAAGGGGAAATTTTCTTTTTCGAGCCAATATGAATTTGAGTTCTGCCACAGAACACAGTTTTTGTTTGTCATAGAATCTGGAACAATCCATTGTACATAATGATGTAATGATGAGGGTCTAAACCAGGAGTTTTAAACCTTTTTTGTGTCAATGACCCCCTCAAGCAGTCTGGTGAAGCCTTTGGACCCCTCCTCAGAAGAATGTTTGTTAATACATGAAATAAGATATATAGGATAGCAAATGAAACCAAATACAGTTATGACAATGATAATAATTGCTAGTGTTCATATAGTGCTTTTAGGTTTGCAAAGTGCATTACAAATTCACATTTTATCCTCACAACCACCCAAGGAAGTAGGTATTACTGTCACTAATTTGTAGAGGAGGAAACCATGGCTGTTTAAATAGCTTGCTCAGTGTCACACGGCTAGAAAATGTCTGAGACAACATTTGAACTCAGGTCTTCCTAATTCTAGGTATAGTGCTCTAGCTACTGAGGCACCTACCTTTCTAGTTACAAAAAACTAAAAACTAAAAATAAAAAATTCACAGACTCCAGGGAAACAACCTCCGGTAAATAAGTTCACTTTAAAATACCATTCACATATAGTTTTCAGAAAGCTCACAACCACAGATTCAGACACTAAGGTGATGGCATGTTAGAGGCAAAAAAGGACCATAGCATATTTTCCAAAACAGAGTATGTACAGTCTCACAAAGGGTGTTTTGAGCATTTTCTCTGGCTGACCCCCATGTCTGGAACAATTTTTTTCCTCTGCTCTGATTTACTGACCTCCCTCGGTTCCAAAATGCCACCTTTTATAGGAAGTCTTCTCCAATCTCTCTTAATTCCAGGGCCTTCCCTCTGGTAATTATTTCCTATTTATCCTGTATATAGTATATATCTGTTTGCATATTAACTTCCTGATTAGACTATAAGCTCTTTAAGTGCAGGTAGTCTTTCGTTTCTTTTTGTATCCTCAGTGCTTAGCATATATATATATATACACACACATTAGCACATATATATATATATATTAAAAATAGGTGTTTAATAAATATCAATTTATTGATTGATTCCTTTTGTTAAACATCTCTAAAGTTTACTTTTTCTTCTTGAAACTGGGATTTCACTGGAAAACCCAGGACACATAATCACCACACTCAGGGGTTATTTGTTCTATCCCTTTACATTGTTGATGTTGAAAAGATCATAATGACTTTGGGCAAGTGTCTAGTAGAATACAGCTATTCTACTTTGCCGGGCAGATTCTTTAGATCAGAAGGTCTTACCAGCAGGAGTGGAAGTTGGTTTTGGGGCAGGAAGCAGACTCCGGCGGGGAGTGGTCACGATGTTGGCTGCTTGTGCGGTGGTCCGACCTGTCCCCTTGGGTGCATCTTTAGAAAGCACAGCTGCCTTTGGAGCAGGCTGGTCTTCATTTACAAAGCTGGAACCTGTAGGAGGCCAAGAGTCATTAATTATAACTTCATGAAAAATAGATTGACTCAGTTTCTATTTGCAATTATCAACTATGATGAAAGCACAGCATCCTTATAGCTTGACCTGACTTTAATAAGAGACTATGGGAGTACATCTTTCTGTGTTACCAAATACAGGGGAAAAATAATTCATTTTTCCCAAAGCACAGCTATTATTCCCAAATTATCTCTTCACTGGGAATAATGTGGGTGGGGAAGAAATAGGTAAAAGTTTAAAGTAATACAGCAGATCTCATTCTGCAATTCTATTTAGTCATCTAAAACTGAGATTTAAAATCAGCTGGAGCTGAATAGTAATAACTTTTTGGTTAATACAAGCTAGATTTTGATCAGATTTCACAACTGATGAACAGTCAAAAGATGCATATAAGTAGTTTTAAAGGAAGAAATCCAAGCTATCAACTACCAAAATATCCCCCCAAAATTCCCATTTAATTTCTTATGCTGACCTGTGGTATATTAAAACCATGATGGGGAAAGTCGCAATGTGGAAGAGAGAACTATACCTACACAGATACATGTTAAAGTTATCTCCTAAATTTTTTCAAGGCAAAGACTTGTTTGCTTTTGTGTACATATCTCTAGCACTTAGCACATTGCTTTAGATGCAGTAGGAGCTTAATAAACATTTGTCAATTGATTGATCCTGAAAGAAAAGAAGCTCATCTGAAATTTAACTCTCATGGATGCAAACTTTTTATTCTCATCAAACCAAGTAGTAAACCTAAAAAGACAGAACTTAGTTTTGTTCCAAACACAGAACAGCCTTGACTGACAACTTCAATATTTTCATTTTTGCTAGAAACTTGAACAGCTAGTAAGTAGGAAGGTTTAGTGAGAATCAGATCTTCTGTTCATCGGAAGAAATGACACATTACATTTGAAAGAATAAATATTGGTTTTAGCAATTCATTAGTTTTCAACAGATTCTCCTATCTGAAGTTTAGATCACAACAAGAAGCAATTATTAACCATTTACTATGCACAAAGTTCTAGAGGAGATACACAGTCTGGGTAAGCCATAATCCCTGCCCACTAACATTGAATTATAATCCATACTAACATATCGAGTATGTTAGAGAGTTATGAAGTAAAGTGCTATGGCATTTCTGAGAGTGAAGGCTGTTACCAGCTAAGGAGATCACAGAAGGCTTCTTGGAGGAGGCAGCCTTTGGATTGTTCTTTGAACAAGGGTTAGAAATTCAAATAACCAAGAATAGGAGGGAAAATTCTAGGGGCATAGGGAACAATGGGGGTAATCTTGTGGAGATATGAGAATCTAATGCATTTTTATTTTATTTTATTGAGGTGGGGATGGGAGCAGAGATTTCATTCCTTTGGGCACACCTTTCAGAAGCCTTTACATCAGAATTTAATCTCGGCATCCAGGTTTGTATAGAGATGACACAATGAGAATCTATTTTACTATGACAAAAACCAAAGGAAACAAGTACAAATATATGTGTATGCTAAAATGTGTAAAGTATTCCAGGAACTTTAAAGTGTTACATAAATTCCAGGTATCATCAATATACATACACACATGTATATACCTCAGAGAAATTTCATTTGAAATGTTTGTCTATTGAATTAGCAGCCATAATTGGGAAAACTTCCAGATCTGTTAACTTAGAATTCACCTCTCTCCTGAACTCCAGTCCCACATCACCAACTGCTTATTGGACATTTAATAGATGTCCCTCTAACCTCTCAAGCTCATCACATCCAAAACAGAATCGATTACATTCCTCCCCAACCCTTCCCTACTTCTATCGCAGACAACCCCATGCTTTTATCTTTAGAGGCAACGTGTAACCCAAGCTGGCGTGCATGGCATTATTATCATTGGGTCTTCCTTTCTCTTTCACCTCCCATATCTAATTGGTGGCCAAGTCTTACTCATTCTACCTCCACAGTATCTCTTACATTCATTCATTCATTCATTCTCTTCTTTCTCTCCCCTCACATGACCACTAGCCAGATCAGGTCTTTATCACTTCTCACCTGGACTTTCCAATTAGGGTTTGGTATGTCCCTTCTCCAATCCATCATCCAAACAACTGCCAACACAGAGACAACACAGATCTAACTGTATCATCCCCCTACTCAAAAAGCTCCAGTAGTTCCCAATCACCTCTAAATAAGATGAGAATTTCTCTGTTGACCTTTAAAACACTTCACCACCCAGCTCTAGTCGACCTTTCCAGGCTTATTACTGATTTGTTGTTGTTGAGTTGTTTTCAGTCATATCTGACTCTCCAAAATCCCATTTGGGGTTTTCTCAGCAAAGATATTGGAGCCATTTCCTCCTCTAGCTCGTTTTACAGACGAAGAAACTGAGGCAAACAGGGTGCAGTGACTTGCCCAGGATCACACTGCGACTAAGAGTCTGCAGAACAAATCTGAACTCAGGAAGATCAGTCTTCCTGACTTCAGGCCCAGAATTTTATGCACTGCACCACCTCACTGCACATTATTACTGATTATTCTCCTGCAAATTTTCTACAAACCAGCCAAAGGGGTCTACTGGCTGTTCCTTGTACAGAAAATTTAATCTCCCACTTTCTGTACCTTTACACGAGGAGGGAATGTACACCTTTCTCCCCCATGCCTTTTAGGGGCCTTGGCTTCCTTCAAAATGTACCTCAAGTGCCACATTCTATGGGAATCCTCTCTTCCTTTCATCAAATTACTAGTAGCATCTCCTGAGCAATTTTTTTATGTACTTTCTGTACAGTTTGCATTTGTTGCCCCTGCCTGGTTTCGGCTCCACAGCACAAGATGCCCCTCCCGGGATAAGCTCGTTACTTCTAAACTCACCACCATGTTGCCAACTCAAGGCTTGATTGACCCCACGTCCCTCAGCCTCCTCTCATCCTCTGTTTGGAGGACAGAGAATGCCTTCCTTTATAGAGGGCAGAAACTGGACTCTCATATCACCCCACTTTGCATCTGCTGCCCTGCCTGGTTTCAACTCCATGAAACGAGATTGTCCCTATGTTGAGCACCCCTTGGTGTCCCATGCCCCACCCCTTTCCTGCCTCCTTTTTGGGTTATCTCTCCCTTTCAACTGTAAGCTCATTGGGGCAGGATCTTTCTTTCTTTTTTATTAAAAAGCACTTAGCATATGTTTACTGGATTTGTTGGAGTATTTATTCTACATATAGCATAATATATAGTATTTACTTTTCTGTATGTATGTCATTTCCTTGAACAGAATACAGTAATAAAAATAGGTATCATTTACACAGCACTTTAAAGTCTGCAAAGCACTTTAACATATTTCATTTTATCTTCACAACAACCCTGGGAGGGAGATGCCATTATTATTTCCATTTTTACAGAAGAGGAAACTGAGGCATAGAGAGGTTAAGTGACTTGTCCATGATCACACAGCTAGGAAGTGTCTGAGACTGGGTTTGAACTCAGTTCTTCCTGACTCCAGGTCCAGTGCTCCATCTACTGCGCCATCTAACAGCCTAGTTCCTGGAAGACAAGGATGATGCCATTCTCATCTTTGTATCTTCATTTCTTGGTACATGGGAGGTACTCAGGAAATGCTTCTTGGACTGAATGAATCAATGCACGAGTGATTGCAGGAAGCCTGGGATAAAACTAAACAGTCTCAAGGATGTGATGATTCTCCTAGAAAAAAATCAGTAGTAACAGCTGGAAGAAGCACATAGAATTTCAGAGAAAGCCTATGATTTTTATTTTCATCCCTGTAGACAGAGAGGAATAAAATTCCATTCAGATAGTGCCTGCAGAGAAATGATAACACTATTAAAATAGCTTGTGTGTGTGTGTGTGTGTGTGTGTGTGTGTGTGTGTGTGTGTGTGAATGCAAGGATTTTGTTTAGGCTTGTAAAATAAGAGAATTTTTCCTCCACTTATTCCTAAGGCCTCAAAGGATGTTATAAATAATTTGTGATAAGTAGCTTTTTTTTTTTGGAGGGGAGTGAGAAAGGGTTAAGAAGAAAAGCAAATTTATGGTAGAAAAGGAACAATAGGCTATTTCAACTCGAGAAATCTATGCCTCATTGGTCGTTTAAGGTGGCTTGCGGAGCAAGGTTTAATTGTGTAGCATCCATATGGATTTATGCAAATGCAGTTGACCCTTACAAGTGTAATCAGTGACATTAAAAACTCAATCAATCCAATCTGGGCCAGACTGAGAAAGAGCAGGCATGATCTGAACGGAGTCATGAACACAACACATTGAAATAAGACATTTACTCTGCTCCTGTATTGCAAGGCTTCTTTGCCAATTTCACAGTGGAAACTTGAGAATTTCTCTGAAAGATCTCCTGCCATTTTTGATGCTGAGAGGGTCTTGGTTGATAGAAATATTTTCATATGACATTATCAAATGTCCACATGCTGCTGCTGCTGCTGCTGCTACCACCCAACAATTCAGCTCTACAAAGTTTCCAAATCCATCTAAATAAGTTATCTCATTTGAGTATTATAACAACCCTGTGAAGTAAGTACATTATTACCCCCATTTTACAGATAAGGAAACTGAGACTTAGAGTGGTTAGTTGACTTGTTCATGGTCACATAACTAGTAATTGTAAGGATTGGAAAGCAGGTCTTCCTAATTCTGAGTCAAATGTCCCATCTACTACACTTTTCTTCACTGAAATGTGAATTACTAGATGATTTAGATAACAGACTTTCATATGTACAGTTTTTTTTCCTTCAGTAATCGACTCAAATTCCTTAAGAGGGAAATATTACAAAAAATTTTTTTACAGAGTTGAAATGTCCTTTTTATCAATCTCTCTTGTGGCAGGCTTTATTCTTTTATATGAAATTTATTACACAGAGAACATTTCAGTTTAGAAATCTGGCTGCCTTCCAGCACGGCAACTCATTCTTCTGTTTGAAGTATGAGGTATCAGGGGAAGCTGGGCTTATGTAATCCCTTCTCAGAGAAATCTTGAATTGTAGAA